CGCAGATACTAAGAGACTGGGCTTTGATAAATTAACTATTGTGGAAGAGCCACATTCAAGGGTAAGCTTTCTTTCAAACTAGCGTGGCTTGCGAGCCGCAGTTTGCCGACCACTGGTCTAGGTTCATGATATTTACAGAATCAAGCGTAAATCTGTGAATCACATTAGGACCACTTAATGATTTAATGATTTAATACTAGTCCACACTTAAAATATATATATAATTGATTTCCGAGAGGAAGGGAGAGGGAGAGAGAGATGGAAACATCAATGATGAAAGAGAATCATTGATCAGCTGCCTTCTGCTGGCCCCACACTGGGGATTGAGCCCGCAACCTGGGCATGTGCCCTGACTGGGAATCAAACCGTGACTTTCTGCTTCATAGGTAGATGCTCAACCACTGAGCCATGCCAGCCGGACCACACATATATATATTTTTTTTGGTTTAGTTATTTATACTTAACTTTCAATATTAAAATATTCTAAAAAAAAAGGAAAAGTGGCAGTTGCCATTTTGTTTCCCCAGGCACGGTTTGTTTTGCACGAACCCTCCGTGTGTGGGGCATCAAGCGCAGAAACTGTCACTTACGCTGGAGGCAATGCCAGGAATCTGTTTCACAACTTCGGAGTCAGCTCTCCCGCCCACCTCTGCGTTCACTACTCAGAGCAACAGGGTCTGCACTTGGTTTAATTAATGCCCCTTTACAAAAATAAAAATAAAAACACACTGGTGTTTTCTCGCACCCCCTGAGTGGATGACCAAGGACAGGCCTTACCTCTCTGCTTGTGGTGTGGACAGTAAGTGCTCAGCGGATGCCACGTGCCATCCTCGCTCCTCCTGCAGGTGGCCACGGCGCTGTGACAGTTCTCAGAGCACGGCTTCGAAAACGTCCCACACTCTCCGGGCTCCTGAGGGATGAACACAAAAATTACATTTGCTTTTTAGATATGTTCCAACTCGGTCAATGAAAGCAAAGCAAAAGAATGATTGATTGACGAATAATCTTCCAAGAGCCTGTTGCCCATAAATCCTCAATTGTGGAAAATCAAGATGGGCCTATCAGTTAAAATATCCTTGAATCTGGAATAGAAAAATACTGACAATGTGGTACTAAGGCTTAGGAGTGCTGATAGCCAACACAAAAGGGGATTAACTTTCCCCATTTACAACTGGCTCCTTCCAATTTTTCTCCCATCTGGGAGTACAGCTTGTGGCGGTGTCAACACAAGAACACAGCTCATGCCAAGGACGTGTCTCTGCCAGCCAGCTGGTCCCCTCCCTCCCTGGGGACCGAGTGCACACACTCTAGGACAAGTCAGGTTTGCCGCTGAAATGCCACGAGTGTGGCCCACTGCAGACGCCAGGCCTTCTGGCCAGGAACTAAAACAAGCTGCTGTGACCATGCCAGACTGGGATCTCCTGAGACCTTTTTCTCTTTTTTTCCATATTTCCCCCTCCTATTTTGACTTAGAAACTCTAGTCAGTAAACAAATTCACAGTTTCCTTAAAACTGCTGAATCCGGAAGAACACCCCAAGCCGCGTAGTAGGTGGGGTCGATATAGAGAGCTATCTGTTCAAGAGGATGGAGTCACAGAGAATGGGGTTTTGATCCTCTTCACATTATGTGTCTTCCTCACAGATATCAAGGAAGTCACTTGGAATCTATCTCCTGGCCGTGCCCTTGACCGTTTGGGAGAGGAACACGCCACAAAGAGAGACACAGATCTGGGCCCAAAGCTCCAAGGCGTTTGGCCCAAACAATGCATTTGATGTATACTTTCCTCTTTGGTGACAGTATCCTGCTGGTGAGAAAATATTTAGAAGATTCATTTTATGCATTCTTAATACTGAAAATGTTTTCAGTGCCTGAAGGTCCTTTCCCTTTTTGTCAAGACTTATAACACCTTTTCCACATCCTTTGCCTCTGCACTGCTGGCCGGCACTCAGCAAACTGCTTTGAAGTTACAGCTGGAGCCCTGGCAGGCAGGGGAGGTAGGACTTACCTTGCATCGCCTCCTGCTTTTTTTTTTAATTGAATTTATTGGGGTGACATTGGTTAATACAATTATATAGGACTCAGGTGTACCATTCTATGATACATCATCTGTGTATTGTATTGTGTGTTCACCCCCCAAGTCAAGTCCCCTTCCATCACCATTCACCCCCTCCCCATGATCCTCTCCTACCTCCCTACCTCCTTACCTCCCCTCACCCCCTTTCCCTCTGGTATTCACCATACTGTTGTCCTGCTATGATTTAACAACAACAAGAACAAAAAAAAATGTTTTTTCCTGCTTTCCCAGCTCTTTGATAAATGACACAATCGATATCCCAACAACTGATCAGTAAACAGCCTAATTAAAGTGTTCAGCTTGTAAAATGGAGCTGCCATGGAGCCCTCCATTAGTGTCCCAGCCAATAAAAAATATAATGGATTTTTAAACATATTCTGCTTCTACCAAGATGAGCTTGCAGCGGGAAGGAAAATGTTTTGGGGAAAGGGGAAAAAAAAAACAACACAAAAAACAGGTCATAACCCATTTTTTAACACCAAGTCTCCAGGCTCAAATAGAATTACAATTGAACCTCAAGCGCATCCTTTGAAAAACATGTTTCTGTTTAAAATGCTTTTGATTCAATCAAGGACTCATTAGGTATTCTTCACAAGGCCCTCATCAAAACTGTTTACGCATCTTGTACATCTGGGTAATGTGGAAAAATACCCCAACAACTCTATATTTTGACTTTTCTTAAGTAGCTTCTTCAATTTTTATATCAATATAAGGTTCAAGTAACCATTATGGTATTCTTGTCAAGTCTACTTGATTTGCCTGAATGCATGAGCCATGTGGAGACCTTTTTCTAGGTTACAGATGCTTTCTTATTGCACCTGGGGGTGATTGCTGGCCCACAGGAGAATACACCAAAAACACAAGCACACAACATATGCTTTGACATAGTAAAACACAGATTTGGGAGATCAAATAGCTGCAGATTATTTCTTTTCAATTTAATAAAGATTAGCTGTCTTTCTAAGAAAACATGCTCTTTAATCTTCATGGGCACCACAGAGATTCTCAATAGCTCGGAGAGTCAAATGCCTGCTTATCCCCCATGGAAAGCATGTAAATATTAAGAAAACTAAAAATGGATCTTGTTTAAATGTCCTCATAAAAATTGCTTTTTGTCCCATTTCTTATTCACAGTTGATTCCCTAGTGAACTATATTAACAAGACATTTCTGGGGATGGGCAACAAATGGAAAGTTTAGTACTTTCTTCTGACGGTATAACTGTCAACCCACCCCAGAGTGTGAGATTTAAAATGAGAAAACCTGCAATAAAGAGAATGAAAATGATAAAATGTCTCTACTAGATGAGCCAAAATACAGAACAGTTATCCACTAAGCATTCATATGTTCTAGAGAAACACATAAAATTAGGGAAGATGAGAGATGGGGGATAACTAACTCTTAACACACACATTCATTTATTTTTTACTTTTGCTATCTGCACAGGCATGGTACTCTAAAGCAGTGTCCTCCAGACTTTTATATTAGTTGAAGTATCTTTTTTTCAAGAAATCTTAAGTGAGGTCAAATGCACAGATGCACAGGCTGGTCATCTTTCACCAACAACTGGGTTCCATGAAGTCCTAGGGCTCTAGAGTAGGAATGAAATTACACCAGAAAGCAGTCACTTCTTTCAAGGATGGGAGCAATAAATATGGGTTTTACAACTATGTACATAAGTAAAATGCATTAAATATTCATGGAAGCCTCTCTGTCACTTAAGCAGACACAAATGTTGAAATCGAGTTGGCTCATTATATATAGGCTCCAGTAATTGGCCAATTTACATTTATTTAACATTTACAAGGTTATGTACAGAAGAGTAAAAAGGTGCAGTTACTCCTTTCCAATAGCTGATAATATAACAAAGTAAGAGGCAGTTTATGTGTACTACTTCAGCTAACCCTTCAGACGAAGTAGGTCTCAGATGGAACCTTTATTCATCCATTCAACAATATTTATTAAGTGTCTGCGATGTGCTGGGAAATGAGGGATAAAACAGACAAAAGTGCCTGTCATCTACAAGTACCCAGCACTCAACTATGGATGTCTTCACATTGCCTGGAAATGGCCAACCTGGGATTTAACTCAAGTAATCCAAAACTACTTTCTACTCTTGTCAATTTGAAAACCCTTTATTATTTTTTTAAGTTGAACTTATTATTAAAACAAATATTTTAGTTTGTTTTAATAGTAATCTATTTTAATTCTGCTCATTGTATTATACAAACATGTTTTGTTTGAGAGAATGTGTGTCATTTGTTGATGCTTTTCTTAACTGCTCTAAACATTTTTCTTCTTATCTTTTCTTAAAATAATTTCAGCAGCATTTAATAATCTCTTCATATAAGAGAAAATAATGTTACCATCATTGTATAATATAAATGATTGTATAATGTAATACTTGTTTAATATAAATATAATCCTATAATTGTAAGTAAAATATTTAGGGATATTAGCATTCAAGAATATTTTATGCTTATACTTCATGTGTAGGTAAAAAGTATTCCATACAATTAAAAAATCCATAAAGAAAACACAATAAAACATTTTAAGTATTTTTATTTAATTAAAGCATATATTTAATAACATAAAACAAGCAGTTTGCTTAATAGATCACATTTTAAATTAGTTAAGTTCCCATTCTATACTATCCACGTGTGCATTATGGGGGATAATGCAGACATTTGATTGCTTTATAATGATCTTCACACTGAGCGTTGTACATATCTGATTAAGAACTTTCTAAGGTATGGACACTGCTAGCACATCAATCAAAGATATAAAAAGATGGTGCATAGTTTAATAATTTATTATGTGAATAAAGCCTTATTCATAAAGTCCCGGGCTCTAGGAATTTCTGGGGAAAAAGTAGAAAATATGGTCCTGTTACATTTGATAAATTACTTACTTTATATGCACATTTTTACACCTTCTAGTTATGCCTGAAATATACAACCACCTGTTCACCACATAAATCCATCAGAGAACTTCTGGGGCATATTTTTCCAATTTCAGAATCTGTGTAAGTCTAGCTACCATACTAGTGATGGAAGTTTGCATATTCAGGAGGCCATTTGGGCAATTTGCTGACAGAAATATGGATTTGCTCACCTCCATCGGCCTCTCTGGCCTCCTCAGAATCACCAACTGGATCATCCCTCGTATGTTTCCTTCCATGGACATTGATCGTCTAAGTGTTTCCATAGCTTCATGGTTGGACTTTCCCAAGAGAGATTCCCCATTAACTGCAATCAGCTGGTCGTTCATCCGCAGACGACCGTCCTAGGGCAGAGGAAAGAAAAACAGTCCTAAACAGAGAAAAGTCTGGTGATGACATGAGGCTGTTCCAGGGAAAGTTCAAGTTTAAATACAAAAACAGAAAATAATTCAGCTATTAGAAATGATTTATTTTCTATGGCAGAAAAATGTTCTGGAGCTTATCAAATAGTCACAAAGACAAGCAATAATGAATTGTGTGAAAGTATTTTTTTAGAAATCTTCGAGTCCTGAGACGCAATAATGTAGATGTTTGTATAACGTCTCTTACCGAGAATCTTTGGCAAGTAGGCAAACCCAGCCTGATTCTGCCATTTGCTCTGGCAGGGACCATGTTGCTGACTCCAGGAAAGGGGTTTGAAAACCAAAGGAAGTGGTCATATCCCTTAGAAACAGGGTTTGCATTATTAGGCACAGAGAGACATCACGCTTAAGTGCCTTGTGCATGACAGTGGTAATGTGTCTTCAGATGTTATTGCTAGCTCTAGTGAATAAAATTCTCATGTAATTTTCTCTAACACAACCAAAAGTTGCTAGTCTGATAGTCTGCAAAGGAACACAGAGGTATGTCTTGAAGGACCAATTTGCTGTGTTGTCCTCTGGCAGAAAAGCTTGAGAAAGGGGATTGTCAAGCCTTTTATAAGGAGGTTCTGACTGCTGAGTACTTTGTCCAGCATCTCCAGGAATGAACGGCACCTCAGCATGTGACTAGGCAGCCCGGACTCTAGACTAATTCAATTCTCGGCACCAGTCATCCTCAGCCAGAATCCCTCACAAAAAGGAGTCTAGCAGTAGCCAGCTCTGCCGACAAAAGAACTTGAGGGGACCACGTTTCATCTTGCCTACAGGCAGCCTGGTGGGGAAGGGGTGCTTAACATATTGACAGTCAGATTAGAGACATGAATTATGTCTTGTTGTCCACTAGGGTAGAAAGTTCTTGCTATGAGGCACAGAGGCAGTGTTCTGGACGTTATGCTGTGGCTGCTGCTGATAAATGTAACAGAAATAACAGTAGGTGTGTACAACAATTAACCTTTCCAGAGATTTTTTTTCCCCATTAACAATCTCAAGTGATTCTCACAGAACCCCAGGCAGTGAAGTAGATTAATGTTTTTCTTTACACTTTACAGATAAGAAAGCTGAGGCAAGGAAGTGATGTGACCTGTCCCAGGTCACAAAAGCAAGGTCCAGACAAACCAATCCAACGTCAGGTACCATGCACCTGGTCTCTTCAGTGTCCTAGAATTCCCTTGTTATTCCTCTCTAGACGGGAATTGGGCAACACTGAAACAGGGTCAGGAAAACATTAAAGAGTGTTAGCAGTTGGAAGCATCTGGGATCCATGTTCAAATGAACAGACTGAAATGCACAAGGAAAACACTTCCTTAAGAAAGGAGAAAAGCAGACATAAAGTGACCAATTGGACCAAAACTATGGCTCTGGAAGAGAAATCCTGTGGACAAGTTGATGAGCTTCGACTAGTGCGGTAGCAGATGGTCAGAGGACACTCCTCTGCTGACAGAGGGAACAGGGTGAGTGGTGACAGCTGCTCTGGGGAGTTAATGTCTTAGAAAAGCACTGTGTACACCGCCTGCTGGAGAGGGTGCTGGTCACGTGGCATCTCGGGGGCCACCCAAAGGAGCATACCCAGTCTCAATGAAGAAATTGAGATGGCAAGGCAATGGGATCGATAGAGAAGGGTGAACCATCAGAGCTGTAAAATGCCTGAGTGGGCTGTCTCAACAGAGCTGTGTCCCCTCCCTTCCTCTTGTTTTCCCACTCCACTTAACCTTTACCCTAATTTGGAGCAAATCTGGAAATGAGATTTATAGGAAAGGCCAATTGAGAAAGAAATCTCTTATTTCTGTTATCTATTTTGAGGGAGGCACAGAAAGAATAAGATTAAGGTTACTGGAAATGGGGGTAAAACAAAAACAACCATAATGGTTTAGTCCTACAAAGGAAGACATTTGATGGAAGGAGGATTATTGGGCTGAATCTTGGGAAGGAGGTTAGGAGGGTCACTCAAAATCTTTTTAGGACGACTGGTTCTTAAAGAGGAGGAGGAAGCAGAAGAGTTGGATCAAGATCCTAGCTCTGTGAACAGGAAATGAGGTCTAGTGTTGGATTTGTAGAGGCTTAGTCTTGGCAGGACACCTTGTCCTCTGGAACAGGAAGAAGAAAGATAAAGTTTGAAACTGTATGAATATCTGTAGAATGAAGGAAATGAAATCTGAGTGAGATCCCACCTGGTAACCTCCTGTGAACCTGCTCTGTGAGGTCTGGGACCAGGTCTGTGTGAAGAGGTAACCAAGAGATAAGAAGATATAAAAAGAACATTTCTTTTTTGGGGGGCGGGGAGAGGTAAGTAATCTCTTACCAACACGTATTAAGCACAGCTTTTATTTTCAGCTGCTTTCCGAGTCTCAAGCATGCAGAACTACACCGAAGTAGAACATGTTTGCTGAATCCAAATCCCAAACAAAAAGGCAGGTCAGGTCACCGCAGGGCAGCTGTGATTTTTTTTAGAGACATTCACATTCATCACAAGTAGCACGGTAGAGCTGCGGGCGTGATCAAAATCCACACTCTCTCATTTTCAGGCTTGGCTAGTCTGTTGCTATTGGTGTGTGCTTTTTCTTAAAAGATAAACGATGGGTAATTTCACTAATGGTGATACCACTAAGCACCATGTTGTCCTAACATTTAGAAAATAATCACAGAATTTAGAGCTGGAGGCATTCCTAGAGGTCATCTTGCCCAACCTCTTCTGTGTACAGATGAATAATGTGATGGCCAAAGAGGAGCAGAAACCATTTATTGAACTCCTCTTAAGAGAAGGCACTTAAATTAGGACTTGCTCAGCTAGTTAAGGTCAGCACTGCGTCAGAAGAGCCCAAGTCCTGACTTCTCGGCATCACCTATTCACTAACCATTCTGTCGTCTACAAAGATGACCATGACTAGTCCCTAAAGCAGTAATGCTCCAAGCAAAAAGGAACTTTCAGACCCAGAGAGGACAATATGTTACATGATATCTCCTGGAAGAGAACCCTACCTGCAAAGCCACTCAGATGGCTAAGGATGTGAAGACAGGAGACTGAGTTGGGGGATGGAAGAGCAAGGAAGCGAAGAAGAGGGAGAAAAAGAAAACACCCCTCTATATATACCTCCGCAGGTCTAGTCTTGATGTAAAATGAGGTTGGTTCAGTGAGGTCATTACTCCTCACTCATCAAATATCACTCAAAATTATGTATGTCTATTCTGCTTTGGAGTAATTTTGTCAAGAAAAGTAGTTTTTATGGCTTTATTCCCCCTTCCCCATTGATATTATGTTCAAGCAAATGCCTAATAAAGCATGAGGATGCTAACTCTCATCAGCTGATTGTATATAAGTGAATTCAACTATCTAAGGATATTCCTCAGTAATTTTAGGATATTTATTTCATTATAATCTGAGCCATGCTTACATCTGTTTGTTTGTTTTTAAAAAAATTCTTTCTGCTACAAACTGAATGTTTGTTATCCCCACGCCCCTGCCCGAATTCATATGTTGAAATCCTGACTTCCAACATGAGGTTATTAGGAGATGGGGCCTTTGGGGGTCATGAGAATGGAGCCCTCATGGATGGGATTAGTGTTCTTAAAATGGGGCCTGAGAGAGAGATCCCTGCTCCCTCTGCCATGTGAGGCTACAGCAAGAAGATGCCCACCTATCAACCCAAAGGGAGCCCTCACCAGACTCATATCTGCTGGTGCCTTGATCTTAGGCTTCAGCCTTCAGAGTTGTGAGAAATAAATTCCTGTTGTTGATAAGCAGCCAGCTGATGGTATTTTGTTATAGCAGCCTGAACACACGAACACACTTTCCTTCCTAATCACAATGACAGCAACTATACTCTCACCTCTGGCAACCCCATAACCAATGTATCCATCCTCGAGCTAGGAGCGAGTACAGGAAATTTTCCAAAGAGGAAGAACAGAGAAAAGGTAAGAAGTAACTTCCTCAGGGCACTTTAGGTCAAGTAAAAACTGGTAGGAGATTTAGGTCTTCTCTGTGTCCTGGGCTGGCTTCAAATCTCATCAGCCCTCACCTTGTTCTAATGCAGGAGGAAGAGTGAACTGGGAGACAAGATGTTTGAGTTTTACATCTCCCTTGAACTGAACACTAATACAGGCCAGTCCTTGTGCAAATATTTTGCATATGTTCTCTTATTCATTCCTTACCACAAGCCTTTGATACTACTCTCTGCTATTTAAGAGATATAAAAAGGAGGCTCAAAGAAATTAAGTGACTTGTTAAAGGGCACAGGCATGACCAGGTCTACTTGTCTTTGAGTCAGACATGTAGCTGTCATGCTACATTGCCTCTAAAATCAGAGTTCTAGAGATGATTAAAGGCACTACAGTTATTAATGACAAGAATTATTAATGATTTTCTACTTTGTGCAGTCATTGTGCTAAAACCTTTACATGCACTAGACTATTTAATCCATACAGCAATCCTATACATTAGGGACTATTTCCCCATCTTATAACAAGAAACGAAGGATCAGGCTGGTTGAGTGCATTATGACAATTCACATTTCTAAAAGCTGATTTGAGCTGTCTATTCACTCTCAAGTTTTCAACCACTTTGCTAGTAATTCTTGTGTTTTGGGGGCTCTTAGCCTCCTTTGAGGATCTAATAAAAGCTACAGATTCTCACCTCTTAAAATAAATATGGCCCTAGCCAGTTTGGCTTAATGGATAGAGTGTCTGCCCATGAACTGAAGGGTCCCAGGTTCAATTCCAGTCAATGGCACATACTTAGGTTGCAGACTCGATCCCCGGCCCTGGTCCTGGCTCATGTGAGAGGCAACCAATCAATATTCTCTCTCACATCGATGTTTCTCTCCCTCCTCCTTTCCACTCTCTTTAAAAATCAATGGAAAAATATCCTCGTATGAGGATTAACAACAACAAAAATACATAAATAAACAAAAAATAAATATTTACAACATGGT